TGATGGAGGTGATGACAGGGAGATGGTGGTGATGACAGGGAGATAGTGGTGATGACAGGGAGATGGTGGTGATGACAGGGAGATGGTGGTGATGACAGGGAGATGGTGGTGATGACAGGGAGATGGTGGTGATGATGAAGATGGTAGTGACAAAAGATCATGGTGATAATGAAGATGGTGCTGATAGTAATGATGACAGTGGTGACGATGACTATGAAGGATGATGGAGATAACAGTGAAGATGATAACTAACCGAGTGGCAGCATATGGTTTAATTTGGTCTCGCCTGAAAGAAAACATAGTAAATCTCATCTCCTCCGCCTTGTGCCTGGGGAAAGGGTTGGGGGAACTTAGACCGTGCTGCAGGCAGTGCTGCCGTCCAGCCGCCTATCTCCAGCCCCCCTTCTCTCTGTTTTGCTAAAGATAGTGCCTGCCTCAGGGAATGATGTGACGTTGAACTTTACAAAGCTGCTGAGCATTTGGGTGACATCACAGCCTGTGTCATGAACACATTTACCCAGTCTTCCCCTGCTCTAGCTCATCCCCTCTGTGCTTCTGGGTGACACATTTCCCCTTCTCCCCTGGTCTCTGTGGGCTGCCCTGTCACCTCAGCTCCAAGCCACTAGGACCCTTCTGAGCTGCTCTGGAAGATCCTATAAGGCTCCTGAGTCACAACCCAGAGGCAGAGTGGGCAGTCCTGTGAAGGCACATTCGCTCAGCATTCTGGGCGCCATTGAAGAGCAAAGCCATATCCTCCTGGACTGGGGCAGACGGGGGCAACCCCACGGGCTGTCAGAACCAGGGCAGTTCTCTCACCTCATCCTGGCCCCCCATGCTCTTCTTGCTCACTCTATCTTGGTGACTTCACTGGTCCCTGAGCTTCAGACATCATCTCTTCGCCCTCAGTATCCACATTTCCACTCCAGCCACAACCTCTCTCGTCCAGGCCTGTGCCCCACTGGAGGGGTCACATCTCATGTCCACTGTGGATGAGCTACCACTCCTGATTCACCCCTCTCCTGGCCTGTTCCTCTGCCATCTCCACCCAGGAGGTAGCCCGTCCATACCCAGCTCCCTGCTCACATCAGGAAAGTGGCCTCTCTCTCTCTTCTTCCCTCATCCAGCCAATTGTGCACTCTCTTCCTGACCACACAGTGAGTTGGTAGCTTGAAATCACTTACGGTGGAAATATTTACATCATAAGAACAGGCAGACGCCACACATGGGGCTTTTCTGTTGGGAGAAGTCCATTGGTTAACTGCTTACTTCCCAGTATTGACCCATCACCATAGGCAGCCAGCTGGCTCTCTCCCCTACCCCACAGCCAGTGTGGGGATCCAAGGTGCCGCCAGCCCTCATGGAACACCTGTCACAGCCTCCCAGTGGCCCTCCTGCCTCTTCTACTGCCCAGCCCTGCTGTTCACAGCTCAGAACCCTCCAGGGACTTCCCACTACAGCCCAGATAATGTCCCAGGTGTCTTCAGCCCACTGGAATCTGCATCCTGGCCTTGGCAGCCTCTCAGGGCCCCTCCACACTCCCTCCCCGCTTTCCAGGCTCCTAAACAAACAGCCTGACTCTCCTCCTGGGGCTGTCCTCCTGTCCTCAACCTCCTTTACCCCAGCTCTCCCAGCGGAAGTGCCACCTTCTCAAGGCTGCTGCCCGCCGCTCCTACGCCTCACTCTCCCCAAAGCTCCCTCTTGTTTTCTTCCCCCAACACAGGACACTTGGACAGGAAACACTTGGTGGCTTGTCTGGTCCAGTTCTCAAGGGCGGGAGCCTCATGGCTTACTAGGAACCAGCTCATAAAGCACTTGGGACCCGGCCAGACCCAGCCCTGCTGCTCCAGAGGCCTCTCTGCCCCTCTGAACAGCAGAAGGTCAGAGCTGGGTCTGGACAGGCTCCCGGGACCAGGGTAAAGCAAGAAGGGGCCTTGCAGCCGCTCAGCCTGCAGAGGAGGGGAGCCGCTGTCCTGCAGGGAAGCAGGGAAAGGCCAGGCAGGGTCCTCCAGGATCAGCATCAGTGTCTGCAGGCATCTGGGGGGGGCAGCAGGGAGCCCTGGAGGATGCTGAGCAGGGCAGGGTCTAAGTGTCTGCAGCCATCTGGGGGGGCAGCAGGGAGCCCTGGAGGATGCTGAGCAGGGCAGGGTCTAAGTGTCTGCAGGCATCTGGGGAGGGCAGCAGGGAGCCCTGGAGGATGCTGAGCAGGGCAGGGTCTAATTCGGCAGTTTATCAGAAACTGCACAGGGCCCGGATCACATGACACTGGATTGGGCCACTGACCCCACTTTTCCCAGAAGTCAAGGCCTGGAGCCTTTGTGAGATCTGATAAGAGAACAGGTTTGGAGGGGGGGGTCAGCAGTATGCGGGAAAGAAGAAAAAGCAGTGGCTCTGGAAGGGTGGGGTGGCCCTGCTAGGAGAGGCCAGGCCTTCTCCAGGGGGAGGCCATGGGACAGTTGTGTAGGCCAGAGGGAAAGTCCCTCAGTGGCCTTGGACTAGAATGTTCCACACACATTCAGGAGTGGTAGCTCATCCACAGTGGACATGAGATGTGACCCCTCCAGTGGGGCACCGGCCTGGACGAGAGAGGTCATGGCTGGAGTGGAGCGGGTCTGCTGCAGCACTTGGACTAGAATGTTCCACATACTGGTTGAGGGCACTGGAAGCCTGGGCAAGGTGCTAGAGTCTGCAGAACTTCTCAGGCTGGAAAATGACCTCCCAGCATGCAGGGGACCTGGGCACTCACCCTCAGAGCCTTCACAGCTGAGGAGCCGCAGGAAAAGGGCAGGACCCTCATAGAGCAGGGAAGCAATGCTAAAACTCCAGTCCGGGGGCTCCCAGGCTTCCAGGCAGAATTCTAGCCCATGCTTCCCATTTGCCCCAAGGGTGTGGATTCCCCAGAAGCGGTCCTATCAGGTGGCTATCATTCTGCTGTGTCTGGCTGCGCCTGCAGTCAGGTACAGGAGAGGGTGTTGGCAGTTTGTCATCCCATCCTAAAGTGGTTGTCCTGGGGACTACCCAGAAGGCTTGTGACAGGGCATGTTGCTGAGCCCACACCCACCACTTCTGATCCCCTGGGTCTAGGCACAGCCTAAGAAACTGCATTTCTGATAAGTTTCCAGGTGCTGCTGGTCTGAGGCCACACTTTGAGAATGTGCAAAGTCAGAAGAGCAAAGTCAGAGGGTCCAGAGTTAGATGCTGGCGGGCAGAGGGGAGGAGTACCCACCATTTACTGAGGGACCACGAGGTGCCAGGCAGCAAGGTGCCCTAGTGGACAGGCATCATTATCCCTGTTTTATAGATGAGGAGACTGAGGCTCAGAGAAAAGAAGCCACAGGGTCCCACAGGGACTGTCCCCGCACAGCACACAGATGGACCACTGCATGTAAGGGATCCCCTCTGCAGGCCCTGCAGTTTCCAGGCTGTATCTCAGCCCATCCTCCTCCAGCCCTGCCTGCAGGTCCCCAGCCAGTGATGGCAGACTCTCTGGGGCAGGCCCTGGGTGTTAGTGTATTTTTTAAATCTTCCCAGGTGGTTGCAATGTGCAGCGGGGATGAGAAGCACTTCCTGGCAGTCGGTGTCATCATCCCTGAATCACAGATGAGGAAGCTCAGTGACTCTGTGCCCAAAGTCACACAGCCAAAAGTGCTGAAGCTCATGTCCTGGCTTGTCCGACTTCAAAGTGCAAGCCTTTTACACCCCTAGGCTGAACCCCTGTCTACTTGGACTCCAGAGCAGAAACATTCACTCCCCTACTGAGTTTTCCCCCCAGGATTTAAGAGGGGAGAGAGCGAGAGCGCGCCCTGTGCCATGCTCCTCCTGGGGCCTCCCCCCGCTCCTGCTCTGGCCCCTGACCTCCTCCCCACCCTATCTTCTTCATCGAGGGCAGGAAGGCCTGGGTCCCCAGCCTTGGCAACATTTCCCCTGGGGTCTGTAGTGACTCCTGAGCTGGGTGCTATGCCGTCCCAGGCAGCTCCCACCAGTGTCCTCAGACGGCTTTGCCTTCAGATGGACTCAAATCTGGACCCATCTCCCCCCACTTGCCTATGGCCTTGGATAAGACCCTCTGGGTTTCTTCATCTGTAAACTTAAATTGTTATTGAAAATATCTGCCCACCTCTCCAGGCTGCTGGGAGGATCAATAAAATGATGTGGGCGACCAGGCTCTGTAAACAGTGTGGCTCAAGACAAATATTGGTTCCCAAGTCATGTGCTGGCCAGATCTGGTCTCTTCATGCCAGCCCTCCAGGCAGGACAGGGTCATATTCCAGCTCTGCCACTTAGCACCTGGGGCCTTGCATTCTTGGGCTCTCAGTGCCTCAGCTGTAGGATGGGGCGATTGGCAGCGCCACACTTCCCTCAAAGGACTGGTGTGCAAGCCTGAGAACCACGCCTGCAACCAGGAACCTCAAGAAAGGGGCGGCCGGCTCGGCGCCTATAGCTCAACCGGCTAAGGCGCCAGCCACGTACACCTAAGGTGGCGGGTTCGAATCCCCAGCCCGGACCCGCCAAACAACAATGACAGCTGCAACCAAAAAATAGCCGGGCGTTGTGGCGGATGCCTGTGGTCCCAGCTACTTGGGAGGCGGAGGCAGGAGACTCTCTTGAGCCCAGGAGTTGGAGGTTGCTGTGAGCTGTAATGCCACGGCACTCTGCCCAGGGGGACAGCTTGAGGCTCTGTCTCAAAAAAAAAAAAAAAAGAAAGGGGCGGCCGTGGTGATGGGGGGCCAGTCAGAACCTGCACTCCACGGCTCGGTGAACAGGCTCGAGCTCCTGGAACCGTGCCTTTGCACCCTGGGACAGGAAGAAGGCCACCTACATGCCTTTCCTATCTGCCTTCTCTTGGAGGGGCCCAACTCAGCTCAGCCACTCATGCTGTGTGACCTCAGGCTTGTGACCAGCCTTTCTGAGCCTCAGCTGCTCACAGTATGTGGTTCCTGGAGTTGCCCAGCAAGAAGGGATGAGGAGGGGCCAAAAAGCCTATTGAATGGCTCTGGGATTTCCAAGGGAGAGAAGAATGATGGTTTCCAATAGGGGCAGAGGGGATCCATTTGCAGCCAGGACCCCCAGGGAAGCACCCTGAGGCTGCACAGCGGCCCCAGCTCCTGTGCAGCTGCGTGCGGCTGGGGGGGCTGGAGGAGGGTCTGCCGTGCCAGGGCTCCCTTCCTGAACAAGTCACTTGTCACTCTACATGCTCCGTGTCAGCAGTCCCAGTGCCCAGAGGGAAAACTGAGTCTGAGAAGGGCAGCACCTGTCCCAGGTCATGCTGCCCAGCCACTCACAGTACTCCAGGCTGACTTCTGTCCTGGTTGTCACAGGCCAGCAGGGGTTCCCGGAACCCCGTGGGGCTTTCATTGCTAAACCCAGGAATGTCCCAGGTCATGTCAGCTGCAGGTACCAGCGTCCAGACCAGCCCTTTCCAACAGGGGCCCACAGACAACCACGGGGACAGCTTCAGATGTCCCAGTAGCCACATTAACCAGTAAAGAGAAATGAGTGGAATTAATTGTCATAACATATGTTATTTAATCCCCAGATGTTAAATATCTTCCTTGTTTTCATTTCAACATATAATCCATATAAAAATTATTAATGAGACATTTTACCTTTTTTGGTACCAACTCTTTGAAATCCAGTGTGTATTTTACACTTAGAGCTAGAGCTGCCAAATAAAATGGAGGTTGCCCTGGTCCATTGAAATTTCAGGTAGACATAAAATAGTATAAGTGTGTCCCATACAGTGTGTGAGACACACTTACACTACAAATGAGCCACACTTATGCTACAAGTGAGATACACTTATGCTACAAGTGAGATATGCTACAAATGAGATATACTTATGCTACAAGTGAGATATACATATGCTACAAGCTTGTTTCCTAGTGATCTGAATTTAGATGTACCTGGGCACCTCTGTTTTTACTTGCTGCCTCCGGCAACCCTACTTTCAGCACCTCTGCATTCAGATGATCACATTTCAAATGCTCAATAGCCACTTGAACTCCTGGCCTCCAAGGACACAGGGCAGGTGTGGAGGGGCCAGCGCCCCCGTAGCATCCCCGAGTGGCCTGTCTCCTCCCTCCCTCTGACAGTCTAACCATCGCCCTTTCACCTACCTTTAACATTATCTTTGTCTTAGTTGAACTTTCTGGAATCAACTCAACAATTTCATTTCCGATAATTGCCTAGCAGGTAAACAAGGAGACAGAGAAGAAAGTCCACACCTCACCCTGTAGCTCTCCATATCAGCAAATTTTCAAACTCAGGAACAGAGGTCAGAGCCCACAGGGGCAGAGTGCAGGTCGGGAGGAAGGGCAAGCCGTGGCCCAGGAGACGGGGGTCCAGGGCAGCCCACCTCCCTCCTGGGCTCTGCCCTCTGGACGCCCATCCTCAGGCCTCTGCGAGGCTCAGCTTCACTCTGTCATTCCAGGACACCCTGGGGTGGGAGTCCCTGACTCTGCATGTGTGTCTCTCTCTGCCTCAGTTTACACATCCAAAAACACTGGGAAGTCAAAGACCAGGTGGGGCAGGATGGGGAAGTGGAGATGGCAAGGCAGCTGCCAGGGAAGGGTGCAGCAGGAACAGGAGATGCGTCCGCTGTCCACAGCAGCCACACTCCTCTCAGCTCTCAGGGGCTCCCCGTGTGCAAAACTGTCTGGTGTGTGGGGGCTGCACCCTGAATGTCAGGGAGTATTGCTCACAAGGTCACAGCTGGAACACAGGCCCTGGGTCACACAGAACACCTGCAGTGGGGCTAGAAGTTGGCCAGGAGCCAAGGCCTGGAGCAGGGGGCTTCCTGCTGCCCCCTTCTGTGTACTGTGTCACTTTACCCCCATGTGTGATTGCTGCCGGGGACCCCAGCAGTAAAGGGCCATGAGTGCCCATTTGCCCATGGGTAAAACTGAGACTTTGAGGGGGCAATGCCTGGCCAGTGAGCCCAGAGACAGCAGCCACCCACCCAGCCTGAGCCGGGTACAGCCC